AGACCCCACAGCTAAACACTAATGCAGGCATCTTCAGTTCTGCTAGAAGTCACATTCAAGACATGAGTGTCAGCAATAGGGGTGATCTAGTACGATGGAAGCCACAGGAATTCGATGGGAAGCATATAGAGCACAATTTGAGCTCCTGGCAGAAATGAAAGGATGGACAGAGGAGCAGAAGGGAACGAGCTTGAAGGGACAACCACTGGAAATACTTGGACAGTTGTCAGCAGATGACAAGCACAACTATAGAGAACTGGTAGCTGCTCTAGAACTTAGGTATGGAACTCAAAATCAGTCCATAGACTACAGGGCTAGGGGTAGGACTAGAGCCCATGCTAAAGGGGAGAGCTTGCAAGAGCTAGCACAGGATTTCGAAAGTATGGCACACAAGGCCTACCCAACTGCACCACCCGATGTTCTCAAGCTGTTGCTGAGGGATTAGTTTGTAGACGCCTTGGACAGTCCACAACTGAAGATACAAGTAAAGCAAGCACGCCCCTTTACTATGCAGGATGCAATGGCCAGAGCTCTTGAATTCGAATCGTACATTAAGTCCAGCACAGAAGTGCCAAGGTTGGTACAGTCATCAGGATTCAAGGCCAGAAACGGGCAGCTTTCAGAGAGGTTTGAGGGGCTTTGCTGGCACTGTAACAAACCGGGGCACAAGAGAGCTCAATGCTGGCAACTTCAACACAGGGCAGATGCCACGGCAGGAAAGGCTGCTACCCAGAACTGTGGAGAGCAAGGACATGTGAAGAAACGGTGTAAGAAGAATACTACCAATAAGTCAGCTTTGGGAACCCAGTAGCAGTTGATGTTGAGGGACGCCCACCAACCCCCATTGTGAAAGTCCCAACAGCTAAGTGTAAAATGGCAAGCACACATAGTGTTTATGTGACAGGAAAGCTGGATGGCCAAAAGTGCAATTTTGTCATAGATTCTGCATCTCAGCAAACCCTTGTGAGTATCAAGGTGCTAGATCACAAAGGAGTATCAGAAGCCATACAGAAGCTCTATGGTGTGACAGGACATTATACAAGGTTGTGGGGACCAGTGTGGGTAATTATTGAGCACATGGACATGAAGGACAGACACAAAGTTTACTTGGCTGACATTGAAGACCAATGCATACTATGGTTGTACTACTTACTACCGAGGAAGTGTGTAGTTAACTTCAATAAAATGACGTTTGGGAACAATAAAGGCCAAATTCTGGTAAGTGTTGCTGCTTCTGTTGATTTGCATGTCACAGCACTTAAGTCAACTACAATACCCCCTATGTCAGAGAAGATAATTTGGGGTAGAATAAAAGAACATCCCCAAGGAACCCTGATGCTTGTGGAAGCAGTGGAAGACCCACCCAGGCCAGCAGACGTGAAGATTGGAAGGTCGCTTGTGGCAGGTCATCACGTAGTACCCATAACAGTGGCCAATTTCTATAAATGTGAGCAAACATTGTTGGGTGTGTGACAGGAGGTAGAGCTAGTCAATGTTAAGGCAAGAAATACAACCATAAAAAAGGACATCCTTTCCCAGGACATTTAACTGACCTCTGTGAGAAGAGTATAGTCCATTTGTCATCATCATAGGCTCTTCAGGTAAGGGAACTTTTGGCGAATTATGTAGACGTCTTTTCGAAAGGAGATCATG